AGGAGGCCTAATCTGTGCGATCTAATAGGTCGCAAGCAGGTAATTGGCAGGAGGCGGTCTCTCAAGTACGCAGGTAAAGGTAAAGGTTCACCTCGCACATGTGTGCCAGTCGTTCCTGACTCTAGGGGGCGGTGGTCATCTCCGTTTCAAAGCCAAAGAGCCAGCGCTGTCCGAAGACGTCTCCGTGGTCATGTGGCCGGCATGACTCAATGCCAAAGGAACATTGTTACCTTCCCACCAAAGGTGGTCCCTCTTTTTCTACTTGCATATTTTACGTGCTTTCGGACTGCTAGGTTGGCAGAAGCTGGGACAAGTCACGGGAGCTCACTCAATTACGCGGCGCTAAGGATTTGAACTGCCAACCTTTCCGATCAACAAGCTCAGCGCAGCCTATCCTCAACTTACGACCGTTCAAAATTATGGGCTGCTGCTTAAAAGAGGACTGATGACCCAGATTCAATGGGGATGGTAGCCCTGCCATCTGTAGCCACGCGACTGGTCTTCGGACGCTTGGCACCTGGACTGCAGTTACGCCCATTAGTAGCATCCCATGGGGACGACGGGGCCACATTTTATGACGATTTTTGCAGAAAATGGGCCTTTATTTCTGGGATTTTGACGAAACGGCACCGTTGCAAACAATGGGTTGACTTGACAACCAGGGGTGGTATTTCCTTCTCTTCCTGCTCCATCCGCCCATGCCCTCAGCCTTCCACACATGTGCCTTTGGCTAAAAAAAAGTGCCTAAATGGGATGGCATAGTGCTGGGGGCGTGGATTTCCACCACCAGTTTGGACGAACCAGCTCTGGAATACCACCTCTGTTCAGAACCCTGGTGCTCATACTTACGACTGCCACATTCATTTAAAGACCACCACACAAAAAAAGACCCATCGTTAAAATTAGGCCGGTCGCAAGACCCAATCATTTTACAACCATTGCGACTTACGACTGTCACTGGCGGACTCCATTACGGTCCTAACCTGAGGACTGTCTGTAATGCACATGCTCCCCTCTCTTCCATGCTAACTACAGGGAAAAGAATCACGGGAGAGAAGATGTGATATCAGAACTGAAGAGAGACCAAGCAAACTTTGGGGACGAGTGCGGCATGTGCTCAACAAGAGGCAACCAGAAGCATCTGTTACGGGAGTGGCAATCGCCCCCTTCTTTTTTGGGGGGGAACTTCAAAGGACTTTTCTCTTCCCACTTCCTAAGGGGAGTGGTAATTTTTAAAAACCCTATTAAATCACCCAGAAAAATACGGCACACTTCACTTGTAGACCTGAGGACTTCAAGGAAAGGCTAAAGGCAAATGAGGTCCAGGCAGAAGAAGAACATTGTGGCTTCAAAATCTAAGGGAGGAGTTTGGACAAAACTCAGCAGCATTTTTTCATGTGGCTGTTGATAAAAATAGGATCGCCAATGCCTGATGATGGATGTGGCAGGAAAAGGAGGAGGAGGAAGAGGAGGAGAAAAAAGATGAAGGAGAAAGGGAAGAAGAAAAGAAGAAAAGGAGGGGGAGAAGAGAAAGAAGGAGAAGAGGAAGGGGAAGAAAAGGAGAAGGAGAAAAGNGATTTGAGGATCCAGGTTGCTTATCCAATTCAAGTAAATTCAAATTGATTGATTGATTGATTGAACCTGCCCTAACACTGCTAAAGTGACATGGTCAAGATTTTTTCCTCGGCTCTCTATCATCCTCCCTAACGTGGCTTCATTTGTTCATTCATTCATTCATTCATTTGCAAGGGACAACATTTAAATCTATCTCCGCATTGCTAAAGTGACATAAAAACCAGGGATGACATTCAGCAGGTTCTGACAGGTTCCGGAGAGCCGGTGGCGGAAATTTTGAGTAGTTCGGAGAACCGGTGAATGCCACCTCTTGCTGGCCCCAGAGTAGGGAGGAAAGAAGGGGGATTTTGCAGTATCCTTCCCCTGCCCCCACCAACCCACGCCCACAAAACCGGTAGTAAAAAAAAAAAAATTGAATTTCACCGCTGATAAAAACCCTGGCCAAGAATCGTTCTCGGTTCTCTATTCTCCTTCCTAAACTGTCTACAGAAATGCAGGATTAATGACATCCAATCTTGGGGTTTTTTTTTGGCATCTTTCCAGACTGAATTTCTTTCTCTAAGTTGCATTTCTAGTCACTTCCGTACAGCACCCAGTGCTTTTCTACCAAAGAAGGATGGGGGAAAAAAAAGGAAAAATAAAACTTGTTCAGGAAGGGAAGATTCTGAGCAACGTCATCAACAGTTTTGGAGTGCTTCTGTTCATAACATGATTTGCCGCTGGCCATGTTTCTTCTTCTTTTTGTCCCTTTTTCCTTCTTATTATGAGTAGCACAAAAGAAATATTACACCCGGCTATGTGAGCACGTATTTCCTTTTTGTTCATGAGCCCAGCGCTCGACAATTAAGCTGTACCTGTTTCCGTTTTGTTTGTTGTGGACAAAGAAACCGTTTCTGTAGGCACAGCAGATCCCCACAGTAGTCAGGGACAGAACAGCCAGCACCACCAATACTCCGATCACGATCCCAACAATATTGAGGTCATCTGCAGAAGGAAAAGGAGCATTAATTGACCTGTCCCCGTTTCCTAAGTGCCCTACTCTAGAGTATTCTGGCTCTGCATCCCCTCTACCCAGCAAAGCATCTGTCGCCAGTAGAAAGTCTCAGCTACCCAAAGTCATTGGATACGAGATGGGTGAGAAAGGAAAGAAGGGAAGGGAAGGAAAAAAGAAAGAGGGAGGGAGGGAAGGAGGAAAGAAAGGAAGGAAGGTAGGGAGGAAGAAAAAGNGTGATTTAAATAGACTTGATTTAAATTGTGATTTAAATCGTGATTTAAATTGTGATTTAAATCGACTTGATTTAAATCAACTTGATTTAAATCAAATCCACCCTGGTTAAAAATAGACAAAAGCAAGCAATACAATCAATAGGCTCACAGCCCCACTAAAAATGACCCACAGACAGAAGGCCCTCACTTAAGCCTTGATCTCTGCCCCATCTAATCTTCCTAATCAGATTCATGGCCAAGAATGTCCCCACCCTCTACGTTTACCAGCTACCAATCTCAGCATCTGCTCTCAGCCAGCTCCAGCAATTTATTAAAGCTTTCAAAGCTTTCTGAAATTCATCCAAAAGATCCTCGCAGCCAAATGATGAATTCGGACCCAGTTTGGAAAGGCCGAAGCACTGAAGGAACGAAAACGTGCATTGCGCCAACAAACTGCTCTCTGAAAACGCAACAGCACAAAAACTTTTTAAAAACATGTTAGAGAAAGAGGAACTTTGGCCAAGAATTGCCTTTTTATATATATAAAAATGGCTCTCTGTGTGTGTATGCGTGTGTGTGTTCCAGCCTTACTCTGGAATGCCTGGAGCAATTTCAATCAAACTTGGTACACAGATGACTTACTCTCTGGAAACAAATACTGTGGGGGTAAGACACCCCTAACAGCCTTTGGGCTGTGTGTTCTGTTAAGATACAGCCTGTTGTGCCTTCAACTGGCTTCTACTGTACAAGCTCGCTATGGAGTTGCCATGGCGACGGCTTCACAGTACTCCACAAGCTAAGGAGGGAAATCCAACATTAGAAATTAGGTTTGGTCCGGACATTTCCCCCCTATAAATAAATATCTGGGCAACGGCGCGTTATCAGCTAGTGTTTTATAAACTTCTCCACTGCTGAGAAGGGTCCACTCAAGAATACAAGACCAAGGCGAACTCTTCTGGAGATAAACAGAAAAAGCAGAATCAGGCACTCCTTGACTTACAACCTTTCATTTAGTGACCATTCAAAGTTACAGCAGCACTGGGGGAAAAAGTGACTTAGAGTGGTTTATAAAAATAATAAACTCAGGATTAAAATTAAATGAAATAAGGAAGGGAGGGAGGGAGGGAAGAGAGAGAAGAAGGAAGGAAGGAGGAGGGAAGGAATAAAGGAGGGAGGGANTGGTCTGATGTTAAACTTGGGAGTTAGTGCATGCTCATCTGGGTGCTGACTATCGGTGGGGAGGTGTTTTGGTGTTCCCTTGGTGTTCTCTTTGTGGCTTCTTCATGCTCCCTTTTGCATAGTATGCATAGGTATTGTTTACGTCCATGTAGTTTATTGATGGCTAATTTGTCAGAGTGCCAGGCCGCTAGGAATTCCCTAGCATTTTTGGACTCGGCTTGGTCTACGGAGGTGTTTCCCAATTGCAACTATGGTTGAGTCTGTCCCTAGGTTGTGTGAAACGAGGGAGTTTTCATTGGGTCTTCTGACTACTAGCTGGTGGATCCATTCTGCCAGTCTTCTGCCTGTCTGTCTCATGTGCTGAAGTTTTGTCTTACGTAGAGATGAGGCTGAGATAAGGGAGGAGGAGAGTTGATATGAATGACAAGGCGGGAGAAAGCCGGTTGTCCTTGCTTACTGACCTCAACCATGGCTATCAAACCTGTCGTTGCTTAGTCACACAAGGTTTGGCTTTGGGAACTGCTTCCGCGGTGGGTTCCTACTGGTTTGGGTAGGTAATAACTCAGCTGGACACGCGCCCGAACTGGTTCTATGCTCGGCGGCGCCATCTTGATTTTCTCTTCTGCACATGCGCAGAACAATCTTCCTTGGAAAAATGTATTTCTAAGAAAAAGGTGCATGCACTGGTCTTTTAAGGTGCAAATGCACATGTGTGTAGAGGATGTGCCTGGCATGCGCGCGAGCGATGGTAATGCTGGCAGAAACCCACCCCTGGGTTCCGAAGCCGATTCACGTCGTACAGTGGGGACTACGGGGAGGAGCTGAATCTAACCCCGCCCACACCCATCTTCTGACGCGGGAACGTTGCCCTGCTACTCACAAACTTCCATCTCTATCCCTTCGCACCAGGCTTCTCCCACAAGGTTCATGGCTCTGCAGCTGTAGCGCCCCGTGTCCCCTTTCTGGACTTCTTCGAAGGCCTGTGTGGAGGAGAATCAGGGTGAGTGTCCCCCCTGCGCTTGGAGGGAATTTCAAGTCCTTAAAGCAAGAATCAGGGTGAGCGTCTCCCTGAGCTTGGAGGGAATTTCAGGTCTCTAAAGCAGCAGCCCCCCCCCCCCCACCTGCAGGAAACCCGTGCCGTTCTGAATCACGGCTTGGGAAGGAAGCGTGTGTGCTGCATGTTTGCAAGCTTCCTGCCTTTACAAAAGGGGGAAGAAAGGAAGGAAGGAAAGAAGGGAATGAAACAGCCCTGCTCGTAGAAAAAGAAACAAAACGAAAGAAGTCTTAATTTCTTTCTTTTTCTTTTATTGCCGATGCCTAGGTTTCCATATGTTTCCTACCAAGGCAGCCGTCTCTTCTTCCTTCCCTGCCTTTTTTTTTTTTTTTTAATTCCCTGCTGAATCGAAAGACTATTAAAATTAGGCTTTTGATTCACTGGGCAGAGTCATAGATATAAACCAGTCCTGGAAAAGAGCCAAGGTGGCGCAGTGGTTAAAAGCAGCACTGCAGGCTACTGCTAGATCAGCAGGTCAGCGGTTCAAATCTCACCGGCTCAGGGTTGACTCAGCCTTCCATCCTTCCGAGGTGGGTAAAATGAGGACCCAGATTGTTGTTGGGGGCAATACGCTGACTCTGTAAACCGCTTAGAGAGGGTTGAAAACCCTATGAAGCGGTATATAAGTCTAACTGCTATTGATATTGCTAATCCACTATAAACGTTTGCTCAGACTTACAAAATTCATGGACAAAGTAATTTTGAGCGTGTCTTCTGCTTTCAGCTCCTTTCACGAGTGGTATCCAAAGAAATTCGAGATTGGTGTGGCTGCTATACAAGAAAAAGAGGGTAAGTATTTGAAAAAGCCATATTCCAGGTGTTGATAACCTGTGTTCCAGTCCTTTGGAAAAGTTCCAGTACAAAATTCCCTAAATTTTCAACATTATGAATCTCATTTTGCTTCCCAAATTCNGTCTCCTGCCTGAGTGGGGGCGGACTAGATGACCTACAAGGTCCCTTCCAACTCTGTTAATCTGAAATCGGGGGGGGGGAGGGGGGAGGAAGGGTTGGGGGAGAGGAATGGGACTTATTTCTAAACATAGCACCATCGCCTAATTCTCTGGGAGGGAAGAATCAGGAAGCTGGGCAAATAAACTAATCTCCCATGAAATCTATATGCAAAGAAAGCATTGTTTCCATGAGGATTGAGTAAAAGGAGGCCCTTATCTTTTAGATTATTTTTTCCTTCCCCTTTTTTTGGGGAAGCCTTGAAATAGGGTCTGTCCAGCAATGCAAATGTGGCAGGGGGCGGGGGGAAGACTTTAAAATGCATACGGTACAGGAATGCATTTTTAAGACGCCCTTCCGAGGGTATAATCTAAATATATTTGCAATCCTGCGAGAAACATTAATTTGGTAATATTGCATGATGGCCTGGGGCCCTTCTGCTATGGAATCAGGCAGGTCATTATTTTTATTTACTTTTAGTAGGATGATCTGAAAATTAATGGATGTCCATCCAGATTTATTTCTGTAGGACCATCTGGGAGCCACTTCCTATATCTGTAAAAAGCATTGCCATCATTCATATTTTCTCGTTACGGGGTCTCCTAAGGCCAATGGGGGGACTGGTTAGGATGCTGGACTACCACTGCAGAGACCCAATTCACTCTTAAGTTACTCTTAAGAAGACAACGTGTAAAATTTGCCTAAAGTGGGACTAGAACTCACCATCTCCTGGTGATTGGCTTAAAGCCCTTAAGTAGCTTTCATGCCTGATGTAGGACTAGAACTCACAGTCTCCTGGTTTTATGCCTAAGGCAGGACTAGAACTCAGTCTTCTGGTGATTGGTCCAAAGTCACCCAGCCAGCTTTCATGCTTAAGATAAGACTATAACTCACAGTCTCCTGGTGATTGGCCCAAAGTCCCCAGTTGGT